AAACCCCAACAACCCCCCCCCCCCCAATCACCTCAAGGCTCACAACCACACATTTTTATCACGCCCCTGAACTATATTAATATTCTAATGACCCACCCCCTTTGAAACAGCAGATTAATTTCACCAACTTTCCGGGGAAAAAAAAGGAAAGAAGATTACGCACCAAACGCACTTTCGAGTTTAAAAAAAAAAAAGAATCTCACTTGGCGCATTTAACGGGAATTATATTTCGTGAAATCAGTGTCATTATATTTCATTCATCTTCTCCCTGAAAACAGGAAAAAAACTCCTTTGGGGGCAGGGGGGTTGTGGCGTTAGGGTGAGGCTGAAATTGTGAAAGAATGTGTTGTGTGATCGGCAACGAGTCTATGTGCCAAGTGTCAGCTCGATAGGTTGACGGGACATGGGCATTTAGCCATCCGACTATTTTCCCCGACAGAAATACAGAAACAAAAATATCGCAAGTGCGTTTGGTGCGTAATATTTTCTTTACTTTTTTTAATGAGATAGTTAAATAAATAAATCTGCGGTTTAAAAGCGAATGGGATATTAAAATATTGATATAAAATACAATAATAATAATAATGCATATGAAGGATTTATATGGAAACTTTTGTTTTTAGGTGTTGTTTAGTAAGACTGAAATTCAATCTCAATCATTGAATAATCTACGTAAGACAATGCAGACTAGGAGACGACATCATTGACCTGATTATTGACACGAAGTCAAAGTACCAGCTTGATGATAATATGGTCAAATATACCATCTTTGACAAATTTGTGAAGGTGCTATTATCTGCATTTCCACAAAATATGTTTATGCCCCATGGCAGAGGCAACAAAAATGTGTGCACATCCTTTTACATTAATGTGAATTAAAAACTCAATGCTGCAAATTTAAAAAAAAATAGTTGAATAACACACCACGAGATGTGTGTATAACTTATAAACAGGCTGCGTGCCCTTCCTCAACAAAGATGGAACTCAGCTTCTGACGATAAGCAAGAGTCAGATTTTGTAAAGATGGGCCAAAGACTTTTGTCAAGTCCTAAACTGTCCCACAAATGATAATACCATTGCTGATTTGCCACAGGTTGAAATAAACCAAGAGCTAGACAATAGGCCCATGGAGATGAAGTTGGGAGGGCAATCCAGCAACTCTCCTCAAATCAAGCCCAGGACAAGATGCAATCCCTGTTGAAATCTACAAAGCAGGAGGCCTGAGTGTTATTTGAGGCGATATGGAAAGATGGTACCGTCCATCAACAATTCAAGGATGCAAATATATGTACGAGAGAAAAGGCAGTCACCCAGCCTTTGACAACTATCGAGGCATGTCTCTCCTTTCCATAGCTTCGAAGGGCTTTACCAGGGTCCTTCTGAGAGGATTCCGTTCAGACCGGGTAACAGTTCACATGATATTTTCAGCACGCCAAATCCATCTTAGTAGACTGCACGCCATTACGAAAGTTAAAGAAAGGGTTATTCAAGACCTCTTATTTGCTGATGGCTGCAACGTAAACATCTCCCCTATATGCTAGCGGGAAGTGGACATTGTACAACAGACATGCCAGACAACTAAACCACCTCCACCTGCGCTGTCTACATAAAATTTTTGGCATAAGGTGGCAGGACAAAGTCCCTGATACAGACGTTCTACACCAGGCCGACTATATCAACATCCACAAGCTCAAACAAAAAGGGACAAACCAGATGAGCCAGGCATGTTCTGAGAATGCCAGGCAGGTGACTTCCTAAGCAACTAATGTGCCTTGACCTCTCCAGAGGGAAACTCTCAGCTGGCAATGGGCATAAAAAACGCTTCAAGGACAGACTAAAAGCTACACTCAAATCCATGGACATCGACCTTAAGTCGCGGTAAAGACTTGCTGTGGATAGTACAAGCTGGCGTGGCAGACTCTCTGTTGGATATTACAAGCTGGCGTGGCAGACTCTCTGTTGGATAGTACAAGCTGGCGTGGCAGACTCTCTGTTGGATAGTACAAACTGGCGCGGCAGACTCTCTGTTGGAGCCCAATCCTCAGAGAATAAACAAACTGCTCACGCCCAAAGAAAATAGAAGCAGACTTGACTCCAACCCAACTGGGGCCAAAAACAACGTGTGTCTGCGTGCTGGAAAGCTTTCCAGGCACAAATATAAATGGCTGGCCCGAACTCGCCCGTTGAATATTGCCTTGGTCAGCTTCGCATGTGAAGGACGAGCGACAGTAACCTTTTAATATAAATCAATGTAACAATGACATGATAAAAAGGTTTGATGGACTCTTAAAAAAAAACTTTAGAATTGGTGGGAAACACGAATTGAATGACTTGATATTTCAATCATTCACATTTCATTCTTAAATCAATTAGATCTGAATTGTAATTTTAGCCATTATAAAGTGCAAAAGACATTACACTGCAGAGGCATCTACACAAGGGGAGGAAGCAGCCACTTACAATTTGAATTGGATTGGGGGGGGGGGGGGGGGGGGGTGGGGTTGTGATAAAATACTCCCCCTTTCCTTACAATTTCTCCAGGTAACAAAATTAGTATGGAAAAATAAAACAAAATTAAAAAACTGGATATGATCATTCAATTTGCTGAAAAATTTGAAGAATTATTTGTGGTATTATCAAAATTGTTATTGTTTGTTATCAATATTGTGATTACATAGTTATAAATTTTCTAAAAATTTTGTAACTGTAAAATTTTTGCAGCACTAATATTATATAGTAAACTCTCGAATTTTAAAACCAGCTAAAATAATAATAATAAAATAAAAATTTAATAAAAAAATAAATTAAAATCAAAAGCTATTTAATTTGTAAAATGTTTACAAATGTTGATGACAATGAGAACAAAGTTCAAGATTAAAACACAATCATGTTTTTCATTTTTAAACAGAGTTAATTAAATTGAAAAATCATTGTATTTGTACCACAACAACAACAACAACAACAAAAATATTTGGTTATGTACATAGTGCTAGAGAAAAACAACTAAAAAACTTTGTAGCATATACTTTTGCTGTGGCAATGTGAAATACAATTTGGTGCACATATCCCAAAGTTTATGCACTGAGCTGAACTCTTAACACCACACCATAAATTATTCACGATGTTTTGAAAGTAATATTTGGATATTGACACGTTAAAAAATAGAAAATAATGAGTGCTACTTGTTAAACGTTGTGTCTTGTAATGTTAAGATGCGTACAAAATCTGACACCGTGTTCGGAGATACTTTTCAGCCTTTAACATAAGTATACTTTCTTCACACAAATTTCAAACCAACTTTTATACCCATACTGTGTAGTGTAGATTTTTAAAATTAAATATTTAGGCTTATTACTCAGCAATTTTTTTTGCACTGCTTTGGGTAATATACCTCCACCCACTTTCTCCTGCTTCTAGTGAAATAAGCTACTTGATGTAATAGATTCATTAAGTTAATTTAAACACTGTCCTTTTCAAAGTTTGTTACCGTTCCACAAATCTAAAAAAAAAATATTTCTAACAATCCATTATTTAATAAAATATTTTGGTGCGTCTCCCCGGTCCCCTATATTTATTTTAAAATATTTTGCCTACACCCCTCCTTTTATTCCATAACATAATATAGGAAAAATAGATTAAAAATCTTTGCAGCCCATTTGGAACTAATTCATAATTGGGAAGCCAAAGTTTTAATAATTTGTTAAATACACATAAAATGTCAAATATTTTTGTTACTCAATATATTTGCTATATTTTTCACTACAGAACTTTTCTTTCATAGGAATGAAGTCCATCTGTTCAGCTTTCAAAAGCTTCTTGTAGTATCTGGGATAAAAGGAAAAAAAAAAGAATGGTGATGCTGTTTCAGGAGGAATAAAAAAAAATTGAGAATGGTTAGCAGATCAAATTAATGAGATTAAAAATGTTGGTTACTATGCAGGTGGTCTTTACAAATTATTTAAAAAAGCTTTTTTTTTCAAAAGGAAGTAAAAAATTGTTAGCTTTAACATGTAATTTTACTGTCTCAGTGTGATTTTTAAAATCTTTATTAAAATTTCTATCAAGGTACCGTATAGATATCTTTACGTCTATGCCCATTGCTAACCAATGTTTCTTTTGTGTACTTACTTCTTGATAATAAAAGTTATCATAGCACCCATGAAGATCCCTACGACAGCCGTTAGTGCAATAACTCCAAAGGTCAGAAGCATATGACTGCTATCAGCCACTAAAAAATAGGAAATTAAAAGATGACAAAAATCTATGAATACTTTGAACACTCACAGTTCTATCAATATAAAATATTAAAAAATAGCAAAGCATATTCTGGTTTGTAATTTCTTAAAACTTCATATTTTCTATAAAAAATATGGATGGAACTTACAGATTTAATAGCTTCATTCTATTTTTGACATGATGTCATTTAGTGAAGTACCCACTTACTTGACATGATTTTTTTTGTTGAGAAAATGATTACAAAATAGGCTATATAGAATTTCCACAATTTTAAACATATATTTTCATTGAATAAGTGAATATACTATGTCTTGGGTAAGATGTCTTGAAATTGAAATAATTTCTTATTAGTTGAACAAATGTTTAAGATTTATTTACACAATCCTGTGAAGATCATTTTCTCATAGGCTTTCATTTTTGTTTTTCTTTCCTCACTTTTCGTATATTTTTGAGTGAACTTTGAGTTCTCTGTAGACTTTGTCCTCAGCTGATCGCCATTGGTCCAGTCAGGGTAAACATCTTCAAAGGTAACTGGATTAGTCACGCAATGACCAGACAGGTAGGAACCCTCCCCCGATGTACTAGTACCTAGAAGGGATAAGGAACTGAAAACTCATTGATTGAAGACTATTTAATAGAAAAAGAATTTGATCTTAATTGGTGATTATTTCAACAGAAAATAAAGGTAAACAAATGAGTATAAACCAAATCAAATATTTTTTTTTTTTTTACAAAAGAGAAAGATGATTATTATTTAAATGTAAATGTATTAAAAACAAACTTTTGAAGGCTTGGTTGTACTTTAATACCGTCATCAGAAAAAATCAGTGTAGTGAAACTTACCCTTTGGACAGCGTTTACATGTCTTCTTTCTAGGTAAGTCTTGAAAATATCCCTTGGCGCAGAGGAGGCAAGATCCATTACCAGCAGAGTATGAGCCAGATGGGCAATCCACTGTTTGACAAAAGAGAGTTCATAATGAGAGTAGAGATTAAAAGGAAAGCTGCACATGACGACTTTGTGACAAAAGTGTGAGCGCAACTTGAGAGTAGGGATTATAGATTTAATCTGGGCAATGCAATGTTTGACAAAAGTGAGTTCATAATGAGAGTAGAGATTATAGATGATAAGGAAATCTGGGCAATGCACTGTTTGACAAGAGGGAATAAAAAGCTTACAGTAGACAAACTGGAACAATGGGAAATCTATTGTTTGTCAGAACTTAAGTACATAATTAAGATATACCAATTTGATCATTGATGGTGATCGACAAATTGAAATTATAGAGTTGGACATGAGTAGTCACAAAGTAACAGTATTAACACAAAAGTGAACCAATACAAAAGAAATATACAAAGGACTACCAGAAATGCTCTAGAAGATGAAAGCTTAGTTGAAATCCAACAATGATTTCACTCCCTACCACACAATTCTGTGTAGAAACCTGCCCCATTCTGACACGCCACTTTGGCTTGCACATTATCAATGTCCCCTTTGTAGGTCATTCCATTGATGGTTAATGAGAATATTTTATCAGAATCATTAACAAGCTGCAGGATCTTGTTCTCAATAAGAGCTATCTTCTCAGTTGCAGTGGCTGCTTCTTGCTCTGTTAAAAATAAAACAAAACAATTATTTCTAAAATTAATAAATGAAAATGGCTTAATTTTTATTTTTACATCTCATCGTCTGATGTTGTGAAATTCATCACAACTTTTTGATGACAACAATTACTTCAAATTCAATTAAGAAAAAAAAAGATTGAGTTTAATTTATCTGTTTGATGACATCTTACAATTGAAGCATTTTTAGTGTGTAATCATATCTACCTGGTAGTGTGCTCAGATACTGAGGACTTGAACTCTTGTAACCCACCATCTTGATGCTGATTTTAAATTTTACTTTCTCATAAGTATCTGGAGGTATACAAAATTATTTATACTCATATCATAATCTGTAAGTTTTAGTGTATAAATATTAATGATCAAATTGAAAAATAAATGAATTCTGAGACATACATTTTTGTTCAATATTTAAAAAAAAAATTCTAAAAAGTAAATAAGCCTACCAAATTCTGATGATTCATTTATAAATTGTTATTTTTTTATTGTAATCATAGGCGAATAAAAAAAAAAGATAAAAATAAAAGAACTAGAATGTTTTCGGTTTATTCTTCTTAAATTTTGTTTCTGTTTTCATTCATATAAATTCATCTTGAATATCAGTATGGATTAAGTAGGCTTATTTGTCCTGTGAAGTACTTGAGATAGATATAAACAAAAGTGAGAAACTTCAGGTGAAATACCAGTGGTACGTTTCTTCCTTTGGCTGCAAGAATCTGTTGAACTTATTTGGTATTGACAAGTTTCATTAACTGTACAGTTGACAGATGATAACTGAGTCTTTAAAATGTCTTCCATCTCTGTCGCAGACGGTGCTTTGTTGCAGTCAATTTCAAATGTTGCATTTATGCCAGGTTCAAAAAATGTTGGCAGCATTTGTTCTGTAATCCAATATAATTATAAAAAAAGTTTTATTTATGGGTGTATCTGTGCATTGATTTATTTTATGCTCCAGCTTTTTATAGTAACATACTTTTTAAAAAACAAATGATTTAGTTAAAACAAAATACAAAACTTTTCCAGTTAGAGCACATTTTTTTACAATGATAATCATTGAAATTAAAGAAATAATTTTTTTTTGTTCCAACCCAACTATTAAAATATGAGAAGCTTTATTCTGAGCATATCTGAATTTTATTAAAGAAAATTTGTTTTAAAGAGTTGCAGGAATTTGCACGAAATTTTTCTATGTATCAATATTAAAATAACAAAGCCAATAGCTTTTTAAAAAAAAAAATGTTAACTACATGAGTGACATATAATGACTCACTATAATTTAATTTACTCTTTAATTGATAAAAGCGGATCAAAAAGAGATTCTGCCGCACACATTATGTATTTTGAACGAGATAATAAAATATCCTGTACAACCTGTGCAGTCAGGCAACAACCCAGCAGGGTTTTGTCTAGTCTGGTGTGACCAAGTGTAGTGGCTGGCAGGGCCACACTGAAATGAATTGTTACTGGGTGGCACAATCACCAGCCCGGGCTGACATACAATCTGGCAAGCTGAGCTCCCTGTTTCGTCATGGGTGCAGTTCCAGGCTTTGTGACCAGGTCTCAGTGCTGGATCAATGCACTCTAGGAAAAAAACCAGGAATTGAGCATTCAAGATAATATGTTTGTTGTGTAAAAAAAAAATGTAAAAAAAAAAAAAAAGCGAATGGGGGGGAAATTATTCTTTTAAAAAAAAAAAAAAAGGAAAAAAACAAGGAATTGAGCATTAAAGATAATATGTTTGTTGTGTAAAAAAAAAATGTAAAAAAAAAAAAAAAAGCTGATTGGTGGGAAATTAATCTTTTAATCATCAAAGAAGTACATTTTTTGGGGAGTAAAAATATTTTAAATAAAATTAAGAAAGAATGAATTAGTTGTAGGCGACATTGTTTTGGTACATTGCATTGATGCAGTGATCATTTGCATTCCATGTACATTCCCTCACTTGTATCACATATTGCAAGGACATTAATAATATGCTTATAGTCAATAAAAAGTTAAAGAATTTGACTCTGATGATTTCTTTCTTGCAGATATATTTTAGTAATATTTTAAACTCCACCTACCTGGACATGTTTCATTATTACAAGAGTCCATCTGTGTGGCCAGTGAACTGTTACACAGGGCTCCGCCATGGCTGGGTGGTGGGTTGTCACAAGCTCGACTCCTGATCATAACCCCACCACCACATGTCCTACTGCATTGACCCCATTCAGCCCATTCCCCAAATCCTCCATCAACTAAAAATTTATTTTAAAAAAGATTAACAATTAACCATTTGCATGTTAGTAATTCACCTGTTATTTACATAATTCACAAGGAATTGCGCACACAAAACAAATTTGTTACAAACCAATCAAGGTGAATCCATTAATAGAATACTTAAAAGATAATAGACTAACTTGGGCATGGAGGCATGTTGCAGTTTTTAATGTGTTTGACAGGTCCCAGGCAGGGCCTCCCTCCATCGATTGCTTCCTCAGCTATGCTTCTGTAGCGTGTTGTAAATCCTTGACCACAAGAAGCATTACAAACCCAAGCTGACCAGTCATGCCACTGGCAATCTAAATAATGTAGATTAAAAAAAAAAACATGTACAATCCATAATAGTTGTGAAGCAAAGAATTTGCTGATGTGGAGTTAAAAAACAAGTTATTAGAAATGATAAAAGTTGGAGTCTTTGCCGGCACTCTACCCAAGAAAATGAAAATCTTCCAAAGACTCTTCTCTAATTCAGAGCTTTTCAAACTGTGCCCTCAAACACTAGTGTGTTGGGTGTAAGTGTGTGTAGACATTTTGCAGGAACACAAAGGGAACCCACTGGTTAAAGGGAAAAAAGCAATGCCAACTTCCATTAAATTAATTAAACCATAAGAATTTTGAAAATAATAATGTTATACCCGAAGGTTAGTACATTGTTAAAAATAATATATTCGAAAAATTATATGCTAAGTGATAGGATTTTAAATAATTTATAAATACAAGCCTATCTTGTAACTCTAGATTTCATGATCACAATCTATAAATATATGCTACTTGAAAAATTTTTAAATAATATATGTATACACGCCTATCTTATAACTCTAGATTTCATGATCAAAATCTATTTTTGCATGTTCGTATGTGTATTAAGTGTTAGTTTAACTACCAGTATGGTAGTAAAACTGAAATACTGTTTGATGGAAAGACGTTTGCCTAATAAGTCTGTCAAAAACTGGAACAATTTGGAAAGCTTTGCTTTAGATTTTGAAAATGCACACATGATATGACTACACATAATAAATAAATGCTCCTATGAAGTGTACCATTCTCCTTCACTAGCGCACAACACAACGACAGGTAACTACAACCACCCCCCACCTCACCCACTACGGGTCAAGGCAGTTTAGACATGTCAGCACATGCCATGGCACCAGATGCCAGTTATTGTCTTCAGGATGTCAGGACAACCCCTCTTATCGAACACAATTTCTTATGTTCCTTGATGTTAATTACATAATTATACTTTCATAGCTTACGGACATATTTGCATTTTCCTGGATTTAGTGCCTGTGGGCCGTAGAATCACCCGTTTATGTTGAAAAAGACATGTAAATGGGTTAAAAGCAAGTTTTCCCATGATTGCAATATTTTCATAATCAAAATTTAATTATATTTAATTATTTCTATTACCCAGATGTGTATTAATAATAAATAATAATAAAGTTCATTTCAAAAACACGTTTCATCCCCAAAGGCTCGAAGCACGGTACAAAGTCAACAAAAAAAAAATCTATAATTTACCACATTTAAAACAAACGCAACACTACAAAAACTAATTACAAGCACACAATGTCAACAGAAATACTTATGATAAATCCTGAATTATATTAGATCAATTTAAAAATGAGTCGAAAGCTTTTCTAAATGTCCGACCTCTGCATGAAGTATTGCATGGCTTAGTCTCCTCATGTCCTCCATCACAATTGTTGCCTTGAGGATCAGGCCTCGGGTTGTCACAATATCTGTGTCGTGAGCTGACCCCTGACCCACAGCCTCCGTACCGAGTAACACAATCAGACCACTCACTCCACGTGCTCCAGTTTCCATGGACTGGGGAAATTTAGGTGAGACTTGGCTGGCAATCTTATAAACCTACAAACCATGTCACACTAAGGGCGGTAGAGACTGCATGTAGTCACATCAAAGTAAAACATCAATATCAATATACTTTTTTAAGGCTATCAAAACATCTAAAAAGGTGCAGAAATATCTATTGTCCACGATCTTGCCAGATTAATATACAACTGTATTAAAGAATTTTAAGAACTTATTTTTGAAATGCTGAGTGCTTGAAAATAAATATATATATATTTTCAAAATGAGACTGCATTCAGAATCTAAAATGAGACTCTGTTACAGTTTTAGTTTTTTAAAAATAAATCTTTCTAACTGCCCCTTCCTCCTATCACCACTCCACCCCCCCCCCCCCCCCCAGCACTCAATTAAAAAAAAGAACAGAAATTGATATTAACTTGTGATTATCACTAAAAAACATTAACAAATAAAAAAAAAATCAGTAGAAAAAAAAAACCAGTATAAACTGCAGTATAACTAACCGATAATTCCATCGCAGAGACTTCCTTTAAATCCCGGGGCACACACGCAGGAATAGTTCCTCATCTCTGGTTGGTTGACACAGGTTGCACCATTTTCACAACCGTTTCCTTCACAGAAATCTGGTGGTATCTGGCACTGGTCTCCAGACCAAAGCTTCTCACACACACAGGTGAAGTTATCCGGTCCAACGATACAAGTGCCATGGCGTCCACAGGGGTCTCCAATACAGTTGTCTGAGGCTGCAGAAGAATGGGTAACATTTAATTAGTTGAAATGGTGACGTTTATTTAGCTAAAAATATCCACTTTACTAACACAATAAAAGAACATTTATTCTAGAGCTACATATAGTTATAGTCATAGGCAATAAAACTGGCTTTACTTTATTTCTTTATTATGGAATACAAATAGGCCTATTCTTCAAAATTATAATAATTATATATTTGAAGTTTAAATTCTGATACTAAAAGCGCTTATCAAAAATAAATTTAGGGTTGATAATGAAAGAATCTTATAATATAGCCTAATATAAACAGACTGTGAAGACCTGTAGACTGTAGATCGATATTTTTATGTATATATTTTAAATATTTGGTGGAGGCATTGAAGTAGATGAACGAAGTTAAGATGGGAATGCTTAAAAAAATACTTCAAATTCAAAGATTACAAGACTTTAGGTCACAAAACACAAAGTAGATTCTTCAAACACATATAATTCTGAACTATTCATACTCTATATACCCATGCACCCTTCGTTGCAGAAGGCTAAAGCCAAACAATTTTTTTTAATACCTACCATAACACGACGCTGTTGTCAGAAATTGTGCGCCAGACATTGGATTAACAGCCAAGATATTTTGGTCCATCTTTCTCTCACAGGATGTAGCAAAGTCTAGAATGTCCAAATCTGAGTATGTCAGCAGGGACAACTGAAATCCACTGACCACAATGGCTAAAAAAAAAAACCCCAAAAAACAATTACAATTTTGAAAAGAAAAATCGCCTTGCTCTGACACATCAAAAGGGAATTTCAGAAGAGAATTTCATGCACAAAACTACTGGTACAAGAATAACAGCTATAGAGAAAATCTTGAGAGTATATTTACACGTCAAATGCTCAAATCCTTCAAAATTAAATGTTAATCTGTTGATGTTTGTGACATTGACATTGCTGGATGTAGACCACTGCTGACCATTCACAAATAACGTAGCATTGCTTGAGGTATACACAACCGCCACATGATTCCATTTCCTGTGTTGAGAAAATTTTTGCATTTTGTAGTGAAGTGTGCGGAAAAAATACCAATAAAATATTGTTATTATACAAACATTCAACTAAAATTGCAATCTTTAAATGCTGGAGCCATGTGGAATTTTTATGAATTAAAGCTAATGGCTTAAAATGGGCAGCGATTATTGTAAAAATGCCATAAGGAATAAACCTGATTTTTCTATCTTCTCCCACTTCTCTCTGCTCCAGATAAAGCGTCAGTTGACCCAAGGCTAATACTGCATAACTTGTTTGATGGCCAGGCTCCAGTGAGAAGTCAAAGGTTGTTGTAGTTGTTGGGCTGTCAGCATAAATCCATGCCACGTAGGTTAAGTTTTCTGGAGCTGGGTCATGAGTTTGTATTAATGGACCTGGACTGTTCTCATTGAGGCGTACGTCCATGACTGTAACACGAATAGTTAAATTAAGCAGTACAACATAGTCACTAGTATCCAGTAAGTAATTTGCTATTTTTGTACATTTATTAGGAATCTATATGTAATTTTGTATATTTCTTAAATTATTAAGTCTAAAAATATTGCACCATTGTCTGGTTGAGGCTCAATAAATATTTCATAAAACAGCATACATCTCTATTTGGTTGTACATACATCTTAATCTGTGTGGTCTTAAGAGATGTACATGAAGTAGTTACATAAAAATAGCAGTACAAATCAATGATAAAACTGAGCCATAATGTAAAAGTACTAAACGTTATTCTTCTTTAATGGCAACAAAATTTCTAAATATAACAAAATTAACTTACATTTACACTCGTCAACTGATGTTATCCCATGATCCGAAGTGGACATGCCATAAGGACAAGACTGACACATTCTGCTGCCCCTCTCTGACTGATACGTGCCAGGGGGACAAGGCTCACAAGGCTGGAGACCGCTGGCGGAGAAGTTGCCAGGCGTACACAGATCTGAAAACATAATTTTTGCTTTAGGGAACGTAGAGGCTAAAGTAAATTTCAAGAATAATTTAGAAGAAATCAAAAACAGAAAAAAATCATAAGACGTGAAATCAAACTATAACCTTGGCACTGCTCCAAGGAGGTGGATCTGATCTGTCTCGTTGTTGTGCCATTGGGACAAGCCGTACAAGAAAACGAAACTTCCTGGCCCTGATGGGTTCCAATGGGACAGACCCTGCATGTCAGCGTGGCGTTATCAAACATGTGGCCTGGTCCACAGCCGGCTGAAATCAGAATAAGCTAAATGTTATACAAGAATACCATTCGATACACATTAACACACATACGGAGTTGTTTGTCCTTTTAGACAAAATATAAAACGTGTTAAAAATTAAATTTGGCCGAAACCCTCTGTTGCACTATGAAAAAAAATAACACTTAGCTGTACCACTTAGTGCACGCTCTCTGCTGTTCAGAATGGATGAAAAGCGATGGAGATTCTTTAAATTAAAGTATACACTGTCACTTTTGGTTTTAAATTAAATAATAAGGACGTCAAAATTTTGGCAATAAAGGATATAATTTAAATTTCAACTGAATCGTAATAATGCAAAAACGTAGCAGTCCAAGATTTTTAAGCCACCCCCCCCTCCCCACCTTTCCATCTGCACTCAAACTTCGAGGAAAAAAATAAGCAGTTCGCCGAGATAACGTTCCTCATTAAAAGCCGACTGGAACAGGAACCACCCCCCTCCCCTTTCTAACCCCCATGCTAGGCTACTTTTATAATGTGAAACAAATAATTTTACCACAAGACAGTGAACTAGAGACGATGCGGGTGCCGTCTTGGCACTGGAACCGTGCATCTCCATAGACCATTGTCTCGTAGCTCCCGAGATCTTGAATGTTGAACAGTCCTTTGTTGGACTCTCTGTCGAAGTGGTCGTTGATGACCTCTGCAATCTCCTCATAGAAGGCCAACGTTTTCTCTGGCGAACTTTGATCTTTGTATTCGCCCAAACTGATGGTGGCTGTGACCTGAGGAGATATAAAAGAAGAACCTAGATGAGGGCTGGAGGATAGCAGAGTATACAACCTTCAATATAGAATAAACTTAAAAAAGAATTAGAGATGTTATCTTTTTTTTATAGAAAAATGTCATAATTTATTGAAGATATTCGAATACTTGAATTAAAACAAGAAAACGAGAAAAGCAGAAAAAAAAAAAAAAAAAAAAAAAAAAAAAAAGAAAAGAAAACAAAATAAAAAAAAAAAAAAAGTAAAAATTAAAAAAAAAAAAAAAAAAAATAAAAAAAAAAAAAAAAAAAAAAAAAAAAAAAAAAAAAAAAAAAAAAAAAAAAGAACAAGAAAAAGAAATTAAATCTATGATCAAGGGTCATAAATAATAACTACTGTATTTTAACTATTTTGAAGACACAATCAGCTTTATTATACTTTGGCAAAACAAATATTCAAAATAAAAATGCCACACTTTATTCTCAAAGTCCGCTCTTTTCTTTTTATCTTGTGATACTGGCCCACACGTGACATCCACCGAGGTCACACTGCAGTCAGCCACCCCAGCACAAAGGTCGCTGAATGTGGACATATTCAAGGCCTGGATGAATTTGTCCTTCATCTCCGTGGTGCTGTTGCTGTTGCATTCGTGTGTCAGGTAGTAAAATACTGGCTTGGAGAACGCGTTTCCTGGAAGTCGGCGTACTGGAATTGGCGGTACAAAGAAAAATTACAAATAAAATTGCAAATAAGGGACTCCTGTAATACTTCAGTCCTCAACTTTTGTTTTAGTCAGAGATTATTGTCACAGATATCATTATGAATGTGTGAGCTGCGCAATATCAGAGTGTTAGGACTTGTGAGGACTGGCCAATCAGAGTGTTAGGACTTGTGAGGACTGGTCAATCAGAGTGTTAGGACTTGTGAGGACTGGCCAATCAGAGTGTTAGGACTTGTGAGGACTGGCCAATCAGAGTGTTAGGACTTGTGAGGACTGGCTAATCAGAGTGTTCGATTAGATTTTTTTTTCTACCCTGCATTTTATATCTCCTATTCCTTCAACATAAACATTGTACTCCCTTATAACACTATTAAGTTCATACCAGTCCTAATCTGTTATGACCAAAAAAAAAAAAAAAAAAAAAAAAAAAAAAAAAGCAGTGTGTTCGGAGATTTTCATTACATAAAATAAAAAACATGGACAATTTAAAATTTGCCTAAAATTTGACTAAATTAGCATAATTTACCCGTGCACCCAGGGACATAATTATTTGGGACCCACTTTCCCGATG